CCAGCTGTGGGAAACAGGGCAGTTGCTTTTAACCTTCTGAATTTAATTAGGCTGAGTAAACTGGCTATGGTAACCTCTGCAAAGAGGAGAGGATGTGAGAGGAAGCATGTGTAACTGCATACTAGCAAAAATCTTTGGTGGGAATATTTTCACAAATGGTATTATTGGCCCTCCAGCTTCATTCCCATTTTACCAAATTATTTTCAGTAGTGAAAGTGCCAACTACACCTCCCTTTGGAGTCTCTTTCTCCATCTTCCAACCAAGAAAGTGTTGGAGAGCTTCTCCTGTGGTAACATTTGATTTTGTAAGACCAGCCAGCCTACCTTGTGGGTCACAGCAAATGCCTGATCAAGATGCAGATGGCAGTGCACAAGGCAGAGCTCTGACTGAGGAAGGAACAAGGGCATCAGTGGAATCACACCCACCACGGACCTTACTAAAATGAAGGGCAACATTTCTTCTGGGTAGGCCTTTGCAGGGTTATGCAACTGATCTTAATTTCTGCAAAATTTGAGGAAGTTGTTATGCTTAGCCAGTTAAGCACGTTGGAGTGAGAAGAAGTTGTAGATATAATTGCTGGTGCTGCAAAAAATGTCTTGAATTAAATTTGGGGTTAAGTTTTTGTTGTTGGAATGTTGTTTTTTTTCTGAGAGGGTGAGTCCTCCTATTTTTAAAAATTATCATGAAACTTCTGGGTAGATGTGTGAAACTAACATTATATGTGCAGTATGCATGCTTCTTAGTTTTCCAGATGAATTGGAAGAAAATGGTGAAAAGTCACTTCAGCATTGCTTACAGGCAATTAATTTGGAAGTTGATGAGTCCAAGTCATTCAGCACTAAATGCTTCTTCTATGGTCTTAGTGGCTACTCAAGTTGTCTACTCTTTGCAATGACTATGATGATTTACCTGCTTTGGGTTTCTTTATTTTGATTTTTTATTACTATTTTTGAATTACTCTTAGCATACTTGTGCATGTTCATTAGAGCAGAATTTTAATGGTGGAGATCCTGCAGATCCTTGAGAAAACAAGAAGTTCATGAGCTGTCTTGTCAGTAGTAGTAAGAACTGGCCATTATATTTTACAAATTGTTAAGAGAAATAAATAGATTTATGATACATACAAAAGTATTGTGCTGCCTTTTTTTTTTTCTTTTTTTTTTTTCCAAATGTACTGGCATAAAAGCCAGTATATTTTTTGGTATACTGGCATTTCAATATTCATCAATTAAAGCAAAAGAATTAACTGCCACTGGTTCCATTGGGGAGAACTAATGAAGATTACAAGAAGCCTTTTAATTAATGTATTTTTAATGTTAGTCTGTAAAACAGACTTAAAGCTGAGAACTTTATATGTAGGCCGGAAAATTATTTTCTCTCTTTGTTCTGAGAGGAATACAGTCTCAAATGAAAAGCTTAGCAAGTGGTAATGTGTGACTCCTGCATGGAGGAAAATGCTGGGTCCTGAGTCCATATCCTCATTCATGTCCCTAAGTATGAATCCTTTTCGAGACTTTTATTATCCTTGTAGATGTGACAGTACTAAAAAACAATTGACACACAAAATTGACGACCTCACTCTGCAGAGGAATTTAAACCTTGGATCTTGCAACGAGATCGTTGTGGGTCTTCAGATCTTTCGCAGTTGCATTCTGGAGTCAGCTGTGGAGCTGTCTGCTTCTCAGCTGTCAGGGCTGGTGACCCTGTTGGATCATGTGGACTCCTACACAGGCCAGAGGAACCTTGGCCCACTCCGGCTTTTATAACCATCCCCACATCTCACCCCAGTGGGAATGTGGGCAGCATTTGGTCCCAAAGAGCAAGAAATGCATGTGCACTCGCAGGTAGCTTGTGAGTGCAGGCTGCCTGAATTACACCATTCTCAGTGAAACACCTAGCAAATTCATGGTTCTGCACTTTACACATACTTGTTGAGCTTCAAATAAATGGTTTTGCATAGCAGCTTTTTTTTTTTTTTTTTTTTAAAAAAAAAAGGCCTCTGCCTGAAGAGTAGCTGTGGAATGTAAAGCCATATATCCGAGGACCCACAGAGAGCATCTGCGCCATGGACTGATTGCCACTGTCATGCAACAGCCCCTTCTAGCACATTACTCAGTGATCCTGGCAACAGAGTTAGTATTTTCCCCTGACCCCAAATCCAGTATTGTGTTTCACTCCCCCACCTCTGCATCTGTACTGATAAATTTAACCCTGTCAATTGCTGTCATTTCTGAGGCCAACAGGCCTGAGAGTGCATGCTTCCATTGCTAGAAAACTTTTTTACCTCCCAAAATGGTGTGGTAACATATAAAATGCCTATTGGGAGCTGCAGTTGATATTCATTCTTGAACAGAAGCCTGGAGTTATTTGTAAAAGTGCTGTTAGGGACAGGTCAAAACTAGTCCAGGAATAGTTACCTCACTTTGGATGCTGAGTTGCCATGCTAAGAGTAGTGCTTGGTGCTATTAAGCACACCAGTATGGGAGGAAGCTGTTTTAACTAGCACAGCAAAAGGCTTTTTCCCAATGTTGTGATGGGAGATGGGGCTACCAAGACAAAATTCCCTCATAAGATCACTTCAGCTTAACCAGAGTACCAGTGGTTCTCTTCTTTTCAGACTAATGCTTAGGGACAGTCAGAACTCAGGCTAGCAGCCTGTTAGGAGGGTGCCTTCTTGGTTAGTCCAAATCCTGTATCTCCTTTTGCCTATCTCCTGTGTTTGAAGGGTATCAGGATTCTTCTGCATTCAAGTAAATTTCATCTCATGCTCGTCTTTCCTTAATGTTACTAAGTTTAGAGGAACACATTTTAGCATTTTTGATTAGCTATTGAAGTTTTAGCAAGTGAATGAGATGTTGCTCCAGCTGTCTGACTGTGTACTGATACGCTGGTTTCCTTCTGGAGATACTACTTTCCTTTCCAGAACATTAATTAAACAGTCAACTCATCGAATTCTCTCTTTCCATGCAGCCTGGTTTAAACTATGTTCTGCATTGTTATGACTGCAGTTTAGTTTTATGAAAAATACCATTCAGACACTGTCTGGCAATCCTAGGTGCATTGCTAGGTTTCCACAGAGATTACACACAACACATTAACATATATAAGACCTGACTCAAAAATCTGAGTCCTTTTCTTGTGATAGGAACACTTCATCAAGGTATTACTTAATTTGCTGAAGTCAGGTGTTTCTCTAAGGCAGTGCACAGTCTTGTTGAGGAACTTTATTTGCTTCTACTCTTGTAGTCATCTTTTCTGATACTGAGTAAACTTTTCACCTATCAGTGTGCTGATCTGCGAAATTCAGTGGCCTCCACCACATTTTAATGCAAATAATGAGAAGTTCCACATACTCCATTTAATTCTCTTGCCATCGATAAAGAATTAGAGCAAATAGGTATAGCACCAAGTTACCACATATTTTTTCGCAGAGCTTCGACCTTCTCAAATATGCTCTAGATTTTCTGTAGGAGTTCTCAGTCTTCCTGGTGTAGAAATAAATTGTTATTTCACCAGTTTTAGCATAGGTAGAGGGACACAAAATCTGCAATTTAAATCTTTGCGTTCCCAAAATTATTTTGTGCAAACTTACTGCTTAATAACTCATCTTTTGTGGAAAAAATTTGAGTGCTTAACACTTGTGTAAGAAGACTATTAATTTGTTCATCCTTTATGTATAAGTACTTTGTAGATCAGGGAAAAGAGTGTTTCATCTGGTTCTTTCTTTATTGTGCATTGTCTAAGGTTTGTTAACTACCCAGGTAATGGAGGAAAGGGAGTGAACTGGGAATGGTGAGACTCTAAAAGCCCGACTTGCCAGAATTTGAGCAAGTACTTTGTACCTGAAGTGGTAACACAGTTTTGTATTGTGTAGAGTAGCAGAGAAGAGCTTGTGGTTTCTTGTTCCTTTTCCCAACTTCTCAATATATCACTCCTCACTGACCAGCAGGGCATTTTACCAATAAAATATTTACTCACAGTTTTAGATCATGGAGTGAAATATAAAACACACTTGGTAGTCTGTTTCAGCTGTTAATCAAAATCAGTCTTCAGCAGCCAATGCTTTTTCTCTAAGTTTAAGTCTTTGGTAGTGGCATCTTCCCCTACACAGAGCTAGCTGGTTGCCCTGTGAGAAGAGTAAATCTTTGCATTCAATATATCTTGAAGCACTTTTTCTGCTCTCACTTCAGTGCTTTCATGTTTTCCAAAGCTGTACACAGAAATAAAATTGCCTCTTTACTCTAACTCTGTTCCTTTGAGTGAGAAAAGGCTTCAATATACGTGCCTGGGAGTGCAGGTTAAGAAACTGATTCCTCACCATAGCACACAAACTCCCATCCTTTGTTTTTGTGTGTGACCTAGTTTAATTGTACTTGGTCGAAACTGTGAGCAAAGTGATGCTACTTTGAAATTCTGGGTTTGTTAAGCATGCAGCTGGAAAAAGAAAATTGCCCTTGCCAGAATAAGAAATGAAAATATTGTGCATTAACTAAAGACAAGCATTTTTTTTCTTGTTGCAAAATGCTTGAAAGCCTTTCTGCTTGATAAAGTAATCTGTTGCAAGGCAGCATTGTTTTAACTGTGAAGGAAAATTTCTGAAAATAATCTTTTAAAGTACTTAGCTGAGATTTCTAGATCTCATAGAAAGATTTGCAACAATTCCTTGAAGCAGTTGGCATCCTCATGAAGTCCAGTGATACGTGAGTCTGCTGTATAGGAGCTTTACAATGAGGAAAGCATAGCCACTGTACACCCCAAATATGCAAATGACCATAATTGTTTGCTTAAAAAATCATCCCAGCAAATGTCTTATCCACGATGTGGATTCTGTATCCTCTGTCCCATTTGTCTGTTTCCATAACCTTTTTTTTTCTACCTGTGATGTTTTTCAGCAGACACATGATAAAATATCTAGGCTATATTCCAAGGGTGGAATAAAAAGCTGTGTTTATTTTTATGGAAGCACTAACAATTCTATTTGGATTGAATTTCTTCATAGCAAAACCAATGAATTACTGAACAGATTGGATGTGGGTTTGCCAAAGAGTGATTCCTGTCAGATTGCTAATCCTGGCCCAGAATCTACAGCATGGGTAAGCAAAACCATAGTGTGTGCTGTATTTCCTATCAGCTTTCCAGGTGCTGTCAATAGTGTAATGTTAGAATATCCTAATTGAGTTTAATTGCTGAGATGTAACCCAGTGAGTACCAAGGAGCCTTTCTGGGTGAATGAGACTGCCTACCTTGTCTCTTCCACACTGGCAGGGTATTCTGCATTGTAGAGGACTTTCTCTACCAGAAAGAGAAAGATCTCTTTCTGATAAATGAGAACCAGATATATATTCTAAGGTTAGATGAGAATCTTAAGTATGCCCTGTCCCCATTCACTGGTGGTAGGCTTTTATGAAATCTCAATAAATTAAGCTCAGCAGATGCTTTGCTGCATTAAAAATCCTGTCAAAAGAGAAGCTTGTTTCTCACTGCATCTTAAAAGTGATTCTAAGACACTGCTTGGGGTCTTTGTCCCAGTTTGAAGTAGTCTTGTAAGTATCAGTGTAATTAGGAAATAGATAAAGTATTGCTGCAATTTCATTATTCTTATTGACTCTAAGAGGCTTTTTCACATACAATTAGTCTCTTCATGTATAAACTAAGTTTTCCTACTAATGTAGAAAGTTTCAGTGAGGAGTATTAACCCTGAAAGAGAAGTATTTCTCCTGTAGGGAGGTTTGTAATTGGGGAAGGACAGAGAACAGGGAGCCAAGCAGACAGAAATTAACATTGGAAGCAACTGAGCAGAAGTATGGAAGTATCTGGTCTAGGCAGCCCTCTATTGTATACAGCCTTGAGCACCAGCTGTTGGGTAACAGGAAGGGAAAATTTGCCTCCATATTTCCTCAGATGACTTAGAAATGGGAAAAAAATCCTCCCTTTATAGAAATTGCTGACAACAGGATATATGACACATCTGTCTTGCCTCTAGTATCTCTTCCTGGTTTTCATTGAAAGGGATGAAAAGGGAAATTGATACTGAAAATAGGCTGCATTGCAGGATATATGACACATCTGTCTTGCCTCTAGTATCTCTTCCTGGTTTTCATTGCATGAAAAGGGAAGTTGATACTGAAAATAGGCTGCATTCCCCTTTAATTTTTCAGGATACCTTGTATCTCTAAACCCTAAAGACATTTTGGCAAAGGTGGGCAGCTATGTAGCTAGAAAGTACCAACTTCTGCCCAGCACTGCTGGACAGAAGGTCAGTTGTGGGAGAGTGCCTTTCAGACTGTATTTTGTAGTCCTGGGTGAACAACCAGGATGAAGGGATATGGAAAGAGAGAAAAGATGTCTTGAAACCACGTCTACCTCCCTCTTGAAGTACCCAACACTTCAAACAATGGGGAGTTTGCTCATTGGTAAGGAAGCCCTAGCTCTGCAGCTTTTGTACGATGTGAGCATTGAACTATGAAGACAAGTGAGCTCATGTCCCCACAACTGACTTGGGTTTCAGCATTTTGGTGTGCTCTCTTCATATCCTTACAAAAGTGGGTGAATTGCTGAAGGAGCACTAAACTATTTCAGTTGTACAGGTCCTTGGCTTTCTGCTTCACCTACCTATGTGTGGCTTTCTCATTCCATGTTTTGACAGGTTTCTCAAAAAGTTGTGCCAAATTGCATCCCATAGTTCATCTTTCACTCCACTCGTGTCCAAGCAGATAAAGTACATCATTTATCTGTACTGTTCTTTAGTACTAGCTGACATTATACTTGTATTTTGTGTGGCTGCATTTCTGTAGCTTTGTGAATCAAATAATCACTTGTTTGTAATGCAGCAATGCAGGTAGCAAAGTCTTCCCAACCAGCCTGGATGAGGGCCAGTCTATAGGCATAGACACAGCCTCTGAGCCAGGAATCCAAAGGACGTGACCAATGAGTTCTTATCTAAATAAACTTGGCATGGCACCAAAATGCTAAACCAGTAGGAAAACCAGGACTCTAATTTGGATGTTACCTTGAATGTGTCCTTTGTCTGGAGTAATTAAGAGATTCAGGAACAATGTATTTGAAATAGTGAAGTGTGATAAGCTTAGGATGTGCCCAACATGCATGCTAAAAGGGGGAATATACATACATGTATGTGATTTTTTTTAAATTTGAAAAGCTTGTTCTGAAAACAGTCTGGACAATGTGATGCTGATCAAAGGTTTTACCCCTCACATAATTTCTTGGATAGTGGTATTAATTTAGCACAACTAGCTCAAATGTTACGTCCATGAACAAATTTGACTTCTTTTGAGTGACTCTGTCATTGATGACTTTTTGGGCCTGCTTATTTAATCAAACTCATAATTAATTTTAATCCTGTCTTTCAAAGTGTGACCAATCCTGTGTAGATTTTTATTGTCTTCCAACTTGATTAACATATTTTCCACACAATTCTCCAAGCCATTACAGAGAGTAATGAATAATATCGGACCCAGAATGAGTCTCCCTGGACACATGTAGCAACTTCTCCTAGCTCAAAATTGAGCTATTAATAATTTCTTTCTCTACTCAGTCTTTTTAGCAAATTATGTGCCTGTTGTTTTAATGGTGTCGTTCTGCATGCATATATCAAATTTTGGAAATAGTCTGTAGACCTGTAACAAATTCTTCACTTAAGTCAAGCCTGCACAATTCTTGTATTAAATTACACTGGCTCATTTTTAAGTGTGCCACCCTATGTCCCTGCTCAAAGACCTTACAGTAGAAGTTCCAGTGTATAATATCCTAAGGATCCTCTGAGACCCTAATTATAGGTTGGCTTTTTGCAAACAATTAAAACTTGTGAAAGACCAGGGCTAGTTATTGTAATGAAAACCTACTGCACAGTTATTACATTATTCATGATGTGTAGTTCACATTTTCAATTTTCCTGATGCCTCACAAATAATAGCAGGTTTTATTTCTCCTGTTGCCCTACCTCCATAAAAAAATCCTATGTTCCCCTCTGATACAAGGCCTCCATTCTGCTTTTTCATCTTGGTAATGCTTTCATTACTTTTTTTTTCCCAGAATACCCCATCTCTCTATCATGTATTCTGACAGTGTTTTCTGAATGCTCAGGATATCTGTATGGTTGTCACTGGGACACAGAATAGCACTTGTTGTGACTACCTGGGTGTGATGCACATGTGGACATTCAACCAAACCGAATGACTGAGAGGCTCTAGGCCACTTCTTGTTTAAATTCTAGTCTTGAGACGAATCTGTTTCTTAAGTAACTGGAATCATTTGACCATTTGTGTTTGTTAATTACCCATATAACAATTTGAGAATAAGGTTTGGGAGTTTGGCCCTGCTCTCACCACACTAATACATTTTTATTTTCTGCTGAACAATAGAAAAGAAGCCATGCTTATAAGCAAGCTCTTCAGGAGGATGAAAACAGAAGATTAGAGGAAATGAGGCAAGAACAACGGAGGAAGGTAATTATACATTAACAGTTTACATATTGTATCATTTTTGCATGCTGTGAAACCAATTAAATACACTGATTACTTGTAGCCTACGCACAGAGCTTCTCTTTAGCAAAAGTGATTCAGTCACTGTTTTCAAATATTGTGAGAGAGATGAGTCAAGCTGTAAAATTTGAAGAGGGACAGGACAATTATCTTCTGAGTTCAAGGCTGTTTGCATCTGGAAAATGAGCTTATTTTCACCTCTTCACTTGAATAACTGTGCAGAAGGTTTTTTGACCATGGCAACTGATTTCATAGGCTAAGGAAACCAGTTTACTCTCTTGCAGGCAGAAGTTGTCTTACTGAGAAATTAAGGATGATCTCTCTGAATTGTCTCTTTCTAGAGAATTGAGGGCCATGGCCCCTGCTTTTTCAAAGAATGCTCAGATTTCCTGTTAATTATGGCATGCCTCTCTGTGCCCTTGCTGACTACCCAGGTTTGACTGTGAAAGTACAGGGAGGGCAGAACCTGAAAATCTAGCAAATCATTTGAAAATATGTGAGCAAGTGCTGAGCCACTTGCTGTGCCTCTGCTGTTGCTAACATCCAAATTAATGTTAAGCTACTTCCCCAGTGGGAGAATTTTAGCACAACAAATTCCATACAGTGAGTTTCTTCTAGAACTGGAGAAGTTACTCATTCCCTGTCACTGATATCTTTCTTTACATGCTGGGGATGTGCCCTCATTGCATAGTATTCTAATAAGTATAATTCTGGGGAAAAAAAAAAGGTGGGGCAAAAGGGAGTCTCTTCATTGCTATCCCATCAGGTATATGCTTATTCCCAGAACCTATACAGAGGAAAAATTTTTGAAAGTCAGCCTGGATGGGTATAGGGCTGGTTCCTGTTGTAGTCTGTACATGCATCCTTCCAAAGAGAAAATAACTACAGATGTAAATTAGCACGTCCCTAATTCATAGGTTTGGTTTAAGGGACTTGTGTAAAGCTGTAGACTCTTTAGCAATTTCCATGGGTTGCTAAGGAGGTGTTGGCTGCTTCTAAGGCTGCCCTTGTTTGCTATGTGGTTCCAAGGTCTCCTTGCCTTCACAGTTGCTGCTACCTATTGTGCAGAGTAATGCACTACTTACAAACCTACTGTAAATAATATGGATTTTAAGGGCTCCAATAATTGTCCCTCAGATATATGTTGGCTCGTTTCTACTTCAAACTAATATTTATTAAAGTAATTGTGAATTCTGTCTTGTGTGTACCTCCTAGCACAGTGTAGCTATAAAATGTGTAGGTATTGTCAGTTCCCTTTTTTTCTTCAGAACAGGTTTTAGTATGTATTGCTTGATTTAGAAATTTTCAGTACACTTTGAACAGTGCATCATATGCACACAATATATTTCAGAACATTACTCCAAGAGAGGAGTCGGCATATTGGAAAGTCAGATACTGAGTTTTAATTTTCAGGTTGAATAGTTATTTAAAATAGTGAAAATTGAGGTTGGCTTTTTTATTTCTTAATCCTGTTTCTTCTTTTAGGGCTAGACAAATATTGATACACAACACATTCTCAGTTATTGATTTTCTCCATACACTTATTGCATAGTTTTTACTTAATGTTCCACTTAAATTGATTTTAAAAAAACCCCAGTCATGTGGTTCCATTCAGTTATTGAAGCTTTTATCTAAGCACATCATTTTATTTTAGTTTCTATTCCTACTGCTGTGCAGTTGCTATGGAAAATATGAAAGATGGGTCTGTTCCTATGCCTTCCCCCTTGCCCTGCAAGCCCAAATCTCCTTTGCAGAAGGATCTGCAACTTCTTGGTTGCATTGCAGGCAGAAGGAGCTGGACAAACAAGGACACATACAGACCAGAGTCATATCAACTCTGTTTCCTTCACATTTTTGGCTAAAATTGCATGAGCAAACTCTCCTCTGAAAATAATTCCCTTTGGCACTGTTTATACACCTTAATATTGTGTAAGGCTGGTAGTCTGCTGCAGTGCTGAGAGCTGGTATGTGTTCCCACCACACCATTTTCAACAAGCACCATTTCCCTCCTCACCCTGAAGGGAGCCCCAGGGAGCTGGAGGTGACTCAACACATCACATAGCCCAGGTCTCATCTTCTGCTTGCACTCTGTAGAGGCAGGAGGGAAAGAACATGTCTCCTTCTTACTCCATGGGCATGCACTGTATTTGCTCCTGACTTTGGCTTTCACCCCCCTTTGACCCACTGGGAAATTCAAATCTGTGTTTTGGGACAAGGGGAAGTAGACTGCTGTCTGGCATACCCCCTTAAATGTAGGACTGTAGATGTCTGAATCCTGTAACTTCCCAATTTTAAGGCACAAACAAAAAATTATCCACATGCTGAACAGAAAACCAGCTCAGTTTTTAACATAGTGCTGTCACATAAGGAAAATGCTGCTGAGAGAAGTAGCTGACTTCAACTGAGGTTAACATCCTGTGGAATTAATAGGGTTTACAGCGTAAGTATGTTAATTAAAAGTAAGTTTGTTTATTTGTTTATTTATTTGTTTGCTTTTCACTTTTATCATTGCCAGGCTGAATTACTGGAATTTAAACAAAAGCAGGAAGAGGAAACCAGGACAAGAGCACTTAAAAGTGAACAGAGGAGGTAAGATGCAAAAAATGCAGAATGAACTCTAATTGAATTTCCACCTGGAAAGGGTCTCAAAATTTCAGGCACTCATGCTTCAGAAGACCATTGCAATGAGGATCCCTGACCTCAGCTCTGGTTTAGCTTTGCTTTCAAATGAGATCCTAATATCCATGATTACAACTGCTCACTGCTTGCAGTATGACCCAGAGTGCCTTTCTCACTTTATTTATCCTATCAGCATAGGATACAGCACAGGGTAGAAAATATTAATAGTTTTATGGATGACAATTAGTACAGTAGCTTCAGCTGGGACACACTTGATCTGTGTATCTGTATATGAACCTAGATATCTATATATTTTTATTTTTATATCTATATTTTTATTTATTTTAGAATTGTCTACTTGTCCATGCCACATCTTGTGGTTGACTGTCTCTGAGGTTAGCAAGCAGAGCTAAACCTGGGATTTGGTATCGATTCAGATGGAACCTGCAGTGCAGCAAGGCTCTCTGCAGCTGCATTTCCTTGTGCTCCAGGCTGTGCCCCACTGCTGTGACCTCTCTGTGCTCAACACTTCTCATCTTCCACTTCTGTCACTTAACTGACTTTTCATTATCCTGAAGCACAGCTTTATTCTCAGCTTTGTGTTCTGCTGGTAAGAAGAAACAATGCTCAGGTTCAAAAGTAAAAACAACATTATTTTTTTTAAATCATTATGTAAATATAAAAAAATTGCCTACTTCTGTAGGCAACCACTCTTCAGACTGCTTTCATTTCTTTTTTTATCTAGCAAGGACATTGAAATAATTACCCATTGACGTTAATGAAGGATTTTTGATTCAGTCCATCTCATATGCCTAGACAGAAATAACCCAGTATTTGCTTTTTATCTCATTCTGACTAATGTTGTGAAACATTAAAACAACAGTCGGGATTTTTGATTCAGTCCATCTCATATGCCTAGACAGAAATAACCCAGTATTTGCTTTTTATCTCATTCTTACCAACACCATTGTGAAACATTAAAACAACAGTCATGTCTAAGCATGTGTGTCAGTCCTAAGCAGTAATGAAAGGGAAAAAGAAACATTTTTCCAGAGAATCATAGAATGATTTGGGTTGGAAGGGACCTTAAAGCTCCAACCTCCCTGCCATGGACAGGGATACCTTCAACCAGACCAGGTTGCTCAAAGCCCCATCCAGCCTGGCCTCAATGCTGCCAGGGATGGGGCATCCACAACTTCTCTGGGCAACTTGTGCCAGTGCCTCAGCACCCTCATAGTGAAGAATTTCTTCCAAATATCCAATCTAAATCTACCCCCTTTCAGCCTAAAGCCATTGTCCCTTGCCCTTTATCACATGCCCTTGTACAAAGTCCCTCTCCATTTCTCTTGTAGCCCACTTCAGAGACTGAAAGGCTGCTGTAAGGTCACCCCAAAGGCTTCTCTTCTCCATGCTGAACAATCACAATGTGAAAATATTTAAAACAGATTGAGGAAAACTGTGTATTTGTCCATGCCTTCCAGATTGATAGAGTAGTGCAAGAAAATGCTAGAATTTCACAGCTGGATGGAAGAGAAAATTGTCTCTATTAGTAACAAGCTTAAGTGGGTTCTTCCATTTTTTATTAGGAAACCAGTACTTCCAGAAAATTTCCTTGTGCACTGAAGGCTGAAAGATTACCTAAGGTGACTTGTCAAAATATGTAACCTCCCTAAAAAGGTGGGTGGTGGTACACAGGTCATCTTTCTGTGGAGAATTTTGGTGCATTATTGCACAGCAGCCAAGGTGTGCCTTTTAATTCCAACAGGCTGATCCCAGGATAAGGATGCATCTGGTGAATTGAAAATTAAATCCACCTGATCTCATGCCCATCCATGGTTATGCACAGACTTGAAAAATACAGGAAGATGGGCACTGAACAGATGGGAAGGGAAAGCCACTCACAGAATGTTAAATTTCAGTAGTTTGTGAACTTCTCAGCTGCCTTCCATCATATTCTTTTTTTTTTTTTTTTTACTTTAAGGGTAAATAATGCTTTCCTGGACCGACTCCAGAACAAAGCACAGTCTAATAACATCTACCACCCTGGATATAGTGGACTACCTCAATAATGGCACCTTGGTAAGTTTTTTGGTACAGAATGGAGAAGCAATGAGATTGTTTAAACATTGAATTTTTCTCCAGACACAATTGTATGTCTATGTGTGCTTAGCCTGCTGGACAGAACTTTCAGCCCTGGCTGGCTGTCCTTAATACCTTTCCAGAAGAAATTCTGTCTAAAATATAAGTTGTTCAAATGGCAGGAGGGAGAAACAGCTGCTCTTGCAGCAGAACTCAGTGGCCTTGTGTGTCAGGTACTCACTGCAAGGAGCCACATCCAAAGTACTTCCTTAAGTTCAGAAAAAGGATAGTGAATTCATTAGGGATTTTTTTAAAGTCTTCAAATGGAAGGTGCTAGGATGTGCTGTAAATATTTTAATATGGTATTGAAGTTGGAGGAAAAAGAATCCCAGCTCTATGTCTGTATCTACCTATCTATCTACCTACATCTTTCCAGGTACAGCTGTTCATTTTTTACCTATATAAAATTATGACAAAGAATGCTCAACTACATTTCATTTAAAAACAGTATTTGTAGGGATTCTTTAAAGAAAAGATATCTTGACTGTAAAGATATCTGGACTGAAAAGATATCTTGACTATTATACATCCATTCATTTTTTCAACTATTCTAATGAGACCTTAATGTGATTGTTGTTTAGAATTGCATGTTTCAGTGTAAAAAAAAGTGATTATATGTATTCCCCATCATGGAATTTTTCATTAGGCTGAAATTCTGTTGATGAAAGGACCCTAGTACAGGAATGGAAGAGTTAGGAGGATTAAGAAGCAAAATGATGAGACTCTAAGAGACTTTAGCGTGTGTGGCAGTGTAGAGAAAGGTGTTTAGTTGATAAAATGCAAAAGCTTGAGTTGGATTAGTTGGTGAGGATGTGTATGTTAGCCAGTGAATATCAGGATGAGTTTGGTTCAAGCATCTCCAAAGTCAAGGCATGGTTAAAAAGCAGATATTTTGCAACTGGAATTTTCCATGTACTGGAAGTGGGAAAAGGGTGTCTTCATCACTACAACACTACAAGCTTTGGGCAAGTCCTGGGCTCAGGAACTTTGTGCTGCCTCTTGGTCTTGGTGAGAGGAGACAGGATGTGCCAGCTCAACCTCCCATCAGGTCTTTGAGCAGACATTATGGCCTACTGATCTGAAACATGAGCACATCAGGCAGTCCAGAGGCTGATGGAAGGCAAGTTACAGATGTCCAGGCTAGTTAAAGAGTGTGAGTAAGAGATCACATTGTATGGCAGGCCTGAGCCACCTCCTGAAGGACAGCATGTCTGCAGATAGCAGAATTAGAGACTTCAGGCAGGACACAGCCACCTGATAAAGTGAAAGAGCAAAAGGTAAAGTCTGCTGGAGGGTGCTTGGTTAACAAAGGCAGCAAAGGCACTTCGTGTCGTTTACCCCCATTTGTGTACCATTTCCTGATAAACTCCAAGGAAAATGTGTGACACAGCCAAGATGCCCAACACCTTACTTGAGCACCTCCATCAGAGCACCTGCCTTCACCCCTGGAAAACTTGCCATTGTCTGCAGAGGTGGCAGGGGTTTGCCTTTAGCCAGATGTGCACATCCTCTTCCACAGGGTGAGTGTTGGTGTCACCAAATGAGTGTGCTCAGACTGGGCACAGTTTTAACAACCGATGACTATGTGAAGGGGTTTTTTTTTTAATATATAAATTCAAAGAATGCATTAACATAAATGCAATAAAACCCCATGTATGGAAGTGATAAATGTCCTACTCTGTTATTTACTTAATGACTCCCAAAGAGCCTGCCTTCTGTTGTGTAATGCTAGATCTATTTTTCCTTTATGTTATAACGTGAGATTTGAAGACTAAACAGAGAAGGAAAAGATTAAAATATGAAAGAATATGTCATAATGGATAGGAATTAAAAAATTAGTATTGGTAACAAGTACAAGAAAGAAAAATAATCTCTCAAAAGATAGGTTGAATGCAGCAATCTTAGTATCTTTGATTATACCAAGATTCTTCTCATTTCCTTTGGGATTTTAAAAAAAAGAGCTGAACTCCAGGCAGGGCTTACAAGTCATGTAGTCTGCAGCCTGGCATTTTACATTACAAGGGAGCTGACTGAAACAGGTCAGAATATATACTAAGATTAAAAGAAGGTAAAAAAGTTCCCAAAGACCTAAAGGTATTTTTTGAGCCTATTCCATCTGTGCAGTGGCACCAAAGAGGAAATATTTGGTCTCTTTCCTTATTGTATTTTTTTTCCTGTTTGAACTCTTTACAGTCACGACAACCTCACACTTAACAGAAACTGAATGTTGTGCTCTATTGTTGATGTACCTACTCTATTTTTCATTGTTAGTTCTATTAGCCTGGTTTCCTAAAGAAATGAAGTTTGTACGATCACACTGTCTGTCTGCATGTAATAAGATTTCCCAGCTGCTGGCCAATCTTAGCCAAATTTGAAAGGGATTATAAGTCTCAGAGATAATTAAATTTCTGTGTGTTTTGTGAAAAGCAGTGACTAGCATAGGAGACAGCCTAAAACAGTGCCCGCTCTGAGGGGTGGTGCATTCTCTGCATTGTTTGACTGCAGCCCTCTGGCGGATCAGCGTGGGCACAGCTCCAGAGCAGCTGCAGCTCTGCCCTGATTTCCTGGGGGCTAGGGGATTCAGAAAGGGACATGGATATCACAACAAACATGGAGAAAAGGGGAGGAGGCTGAATATATTGTGTGTGTCTGGGAAGAGGGCAGGAGAGCAGTTACATTGTCCAATTGTCCCCTAAGCAATAGGGAATGAGTTTTCATTAATTCAAATCCCCTCCAGACATTTTGTGTTTTATTAGGAATATTTATAAGCTGTTATATCGAGAAGGATCTTCATTACTGTAATTTTTCCTGCCTTTTGGATTACAAATGCCAGGGCACTCTCTGTGTGGCTATGTAATTTCCTTGTTTAATGGGAAAACAACATAATGAAGTTCTACTTCTATCTGTGAGCTACTGCACCCTTGAGAAAGCCCCGAGTCTTGCTGTATGCCATCAAGAAATTTTTAATGCTCTTTGCACTGCCTTTGATATAAGGATAAACCTTTCAGGATAGGAGGATAAGAATATTACTGTTGTCCTTTCAATATCCAAGTTCAATAAATAAGATCATATAATGGAATCACAGAATGGTTTGGGTTGGAAGGGACCTTAAAGATCATCTAGTTCCAACCTGCCTGCTACAGGCAGGAACACCTTCCATGAGACCAGCTTGCTCAAAGCTCCAGCCAACTTGGCCTTCAGCACTTCCAGAGATGGGGTATCCACAGCTTCTCTGGACAATCTGCTCCAGTGCTTCACCACCCTCACAGTAAAGAATTTATTCCTCATTTAATCATTACTCAGCTGGGACTTAGAACTGAAACAGTATTTGTTCACTGTTTTGTCACAAATTATCAGTAAAACACTTCTGTTGTTAAAAAAGAATAACTTTAAAACAGTTGCACATTTTGTTATTCAATGCCTCATGAGATTTGCCGAAGTGTGTGGGGATTTGCAGAGACTAAAAGCTAATGCATGGCAAGCCTGTAACAGAGACCCTGTTAATTTTTTGAATGAAAATGTGGCACTGTCAAGTACCCTTATGTTTATTCTGTAAATGGGGATAGGTCACATTGGGAACATATGAAATTTATAGGTCTCCTCTTCTTTAATGAGATACTCGTTGTCTTGCTGAAACTCTCTGAGCCATAGCAAACCCAGAATCTAGAAGGCAAGGGGACATATTGCATCTTCCAGTCTCATGTCTCCATTATATCCAATGTGATGCATAAGAATGAGAAATGCTCCCTTGAGTGCTGACTCTGCTCTTTATATGGATGCATAATTCTAGATATTTGCTGTGCAAAGCAACTGTGCCCTGAATACACAGGTGTAGTGGGACAGGAAACCCCATTCTCTTCCTTTCCCATGTGCAGAACAGGAACTCAGTAAGATGCTGGATAAATTTTCCTTTGTGGAAATATGATTTACAGATGAAACTATTTTGAATAAATATGGTTTGTGGGTTTGCACTTTGTTTAGTTCTTGCAGCATGACCCATGGGAAAGTTTCTTTGGAGTCTCAACCAGCGCTTGATTTGTGCTGTTTGTGACCAGTTGAAGAGGGAGCAAATCATGAAGTTTACTGTTGCACAGCAAAAAGAGCCGCAGCTCAAAGGCCCCTGAAGTCACAAGGCCAGCATGCATGTCACAGGTTTTTGTAAACAATCTGTCTTTAATATACTTTCAGAAGGATCAAAAATGCACTAAAAATGCTGCTTTCCCAGAACAAAGAAAAGGCTTTTACTTAACATGGGAATATTGAGAAAAGAATATTTGTATAAGAAGGTTCCAGAATGCAATCCACAATGGTTACATTTGTTTAAATGAATAATGTGATTTGCTAACTTAGCTTTAACTTGGTTAGTCTATGTACAATTTGAGTTGAAAAGGTTATTAATTTGTTTCCTAAAACTGGTTGTTTTCTTGGTTTTTGAGTTTTTTCTTTTTACTGAAAGTAACATGTTTGTCTTTCCTGGCAGAAAATATAGAAACTACTTAGCAGAAGTATCAGCATCAATAAAGGGACCTCAGATGAGGAGGTCCAGGCAGGCTATAGCTCAGTTTAATGATTTAGCTCTGGCAAGGCTGTCAGACATCATATGCAGATGTGTCTCCCCTGCCTGGATCTTGAGCTCAATCATCCTTTGCTTGGAGAATCTCATCCTAAACAAGAATAGTGGCAGTCAAGGCAGGAACAGAAGAAACTTCTCACTCCTTCAAATTGTATGAAGTTAAGGACTGAAGAATCTGAAGATATTTGAAATACTTCTATTTTTGTTTTTTTTGTTTACTCAGCAGAAGCAAGATATGTTTATCTCTTGAGTCAATACATCCTGCTATTTATTTAGAGTTCAAATCAAAGATGTTTCTTTGCTAGGACTGGAATCTTGGAGAAGAGTTTGCTTGTTATTTTAAGTGGAGTTTCAAAACTACTTCAAATAATCAAGAAAGTGCCACACAATTAGATAACCATAATTCCTTGCATGAATATCTGATTGTATTACACATTGTACATTGTACTGTACTAATGCATTTTTTATTTTTATCCAGGAGTCAAACTACTTGGAATAAAGGAGGAGCAAGGTAAGAATAATGAATTTGTTCTTTTTAGGACCAATGTCAGTATTAATTTAGTTTTGAATTTGACATTTCATGATGACAACTTACGTAGTTTAATTTTGAAACAATATGAGAAAGGATCTTAAAATAAATGCATTCCAGCTCTGTATTTAGGAGCCGTGCAATGGCACACATCTAATCTGAAACATTATTTTTGTAAAGAATCGCAGAACATGTATTGTAGGTAAGAAGAGCTGATGATGGCATTGAAGGCAACTTATGGGAGTGCCTTGATATTTAGGCTAAAACTTCACTACAGTCATGTTCTCTGCATCACAGACTGTGCCCAGATAAAGCTGAACAGCTGAGGAATGTGGCTGGGAGTGCAGGAGGTGACTTAGTAAACTTTCAGTGTTCTTAAGTGAAAGGGATAGTGTCGTGGGCTGTGTTCCTCCAACTATATTTCATGAACAAAAAGGAAGATTATGCATATCAGTGGAGGCTGGCAGTAAAACACCACTACTGAATCAGAGAAATCAGGCCATCTGCTTTAAAATGTCCTTCTCTTAAGGCTCACTGCATTTGTGTTCCTTTCTGAAAGGGGTCCCCATCTCTAAATCTCAATTCTGATACAACTATGTCTGCAGAGCCTTTACTTCTAGAGTTGGAAACTTTTGCAGCAACTTCAGGAGCTGACAAAGATTATTTGTTCCTTAGGAGATGGGTTTGACATAACTCTTTTTTTTTTTTTTTTGAGACCTGTCATTTTATAAAAAGGAATTTAAAATAATCAAACTTTTAAAAGCCCCTTGCTTCCATCTCTTCTCCCACAAATCTAGATATGAAATTTTCTTCATCATTTGCTACTCCAACAGTTATGTTAATATTTTTACAGCAGGGCTTTATTCTGAAGACAGTATCTAAATAATATTGTTGGCTTCCCATGAGTTGTCTTTTCAGTTTTATGAGAAGTAAAATTGTCATTAAAAATTTACTCAAATTCACTAAAGAAATGACAATGTGTAGATAAAGGCAATTCTCTGGAGGGGCAGAAATGGCTATTTTTGCAGTCCACAGTCCTACCAGGTTTTATAACCTGTCGACAGCTGAAGAAGTTCAATGCATTGGATCCTTTGTTTTTATCACCATATTTACAATACCAATAATGTATTTACATATGAGCTGTACAAGAAATATGGATGGGTGTATTTTTGAGCCTTGTTTTACTGTTGTTCTGAAAACACTTTTCAGCCTGCTACCTTAATATATTGTTCAAAAAGTTATTAATATGTCTGCAGATAATTAGGACATTTTGTGAATTAAATTTACAAAAAGATAGAAATCCCTTCATGAAGGCTTTACATAATTAAAAGCTAAAACCTGTTAGAAGAAAGGGAAGACTTTATTTTCCAGTGGACTTAATCCCTGTGAATTTGACTTTGAATTTTTGTTGTAAAAGATAAATTTTAATTCTGTTTTCTCCGTCTTGTTACAGGGTATTGCAGAAATATCCGCTTTTATCTGGCCTAGGCCAAATGCCCTCATAAAAGCTCCAAGAAACTGCTCTTTATTGTGATTCTTTTCTTACCCTGATTTCAACTGCACACCCTCTTCATGAGCAATCTGCAGAGACTGGTTTCTAGCTGTCATTATTCATGCATACATATTTGAAACAGCTGATTATGAAAGTCCTATTTAATTTTTAATAAGAATATGTGTAGTTTTTTTTTTTCCCACAAATTGTTTTGTCTCATGGAGAATGTAATTATCCCAGTCTTCATGATCTCTGGAAAAGAAGACATAAGTGACTGCAGAAACTGCAGTAATATCTGTGTTTACTTGCTGCTCTTTACCCAGAAAAAAAAAACATTTCAGAGATAATCTAAAAAAGCAGGTAGGGAGGGGGGTTTTTGGGGAAGAGAAGGAAAAATGTTGCTGGGGTTTCGTTTGTTTGTTTTCTGTTTGTTTTTGTGGAAGTCTTCTGAAATTATTTTATTCTTGTACTCAATAGTCACTAAGAAGAAAAATGTGCATTTTAGACAATATATTTTAAATAAGTTCTTAGAAAAATACATAACATGAAAGAAAGAAATAAAGCTTGAAATAACACAGAAATGTATTTGATCTCTTCACATCTTTTGTGATATGATGTAGTGTCTTTTCTCTTTGTCTGTTTTACCATGGCAACTTCTGTTACAGGAGTGGGGAGCACTACTCCAACATTAGCTTTAGTTTCCTGCTTTTCTTTGTCCCTCTAGTCCAGTAGAATTTAATTTGTGTCTCCCTGTCTCTGAGGCAGATAAAAACCTTTCAGTGCTTTCTAAAAATCATCATATATGACCAAGGTGTGTCTAATGCAGAAGAAGGGTTCACAGTGCACCTTACATAAACCATGCAGAGAAGAAGTATCCATGGCATTTGCAAGTATGTCTTAGGCCAAGTTAAAAGTCTTCAGAGCAATTTTATTTAGCATGCAGGCATACCATGATATTTTTCCATCACCCTTGCAATATGGAAACTTTATAATGAGTCACCTGAAGGTTTTTTTGAACGACTGATGTTGCAATATTTGCTATCCCTTGTGGGACGCTTTGTAGCTGTCTTTGGCTCTTACAATTACTCAAATCTCTCATTCTGCTAGCTAGCTGATGTTCTGGAGATTTGGCAATATTTTCTGGTTTAGCCTTTTCTTAGGTAAAAATTCCTGGGAAGGCTTTTCCATACCTACGCAGTGGTACGGTATAGCAAGCGGGATTTGGCTGTGGCATTGGACTTCTTCTTTGGAAATTAAATTTACCTCTCCCTCCAAGAATTCCCTCAATTGGCCTCCTTTGGTAGATGTTAGGGCTGGGGCTAAAAGTCTGCAGAGTGGGCAATATATACATGCATATACATATACATGCATATGTATATTTTAAAGGAAATATCTTTGCTGTAGTCAGACCCTGGTATTGTACTCTAATGGGACTCACACTTGTAGGTGGTCTTTTTGAAGCAGTGAACCCAAAGGCTGAGTGGGAGGGGAAGTCACCATTGTCCCCAACAAGTTGAAATTCAGTCTAACTGTGTTGCTATGTTTCTGTATCCTATGAAAAAGAACTTTTTATTAACCTGCTACTTTCACATTCAGGAACAGTGATGGCAGGTCACCTTGAATAACCTCTTCCATTAAGGTTTCTTGCTTTCTTTTGGCTGTCTTCAAAGTGCTTCCCCTTATCCAGCATTTCAATCTCTTTTTTGAAATGCTGTCTACAACCTATTTCAAACATTAACTATTCTAGCCCTTTTAATGGAGAAATATCAGAATTTTTCCTCCCCTAACTTTCTGAACAGAACAAACAAATCTATATTAACAGTGGCCCAGGAAGTGTCTTTGACAGCCATGCCCTGCAATGGAGATGATAAGAAGTTACATCCATCCACAAATTGATGTTAGCAGGATGTCTGGAAAAAGCAGTTCTTATCCTATTGGAAAGCTTCCAGTATCTCAGAATTACCACCTCCATACACACATACCCTGCCCACACTGTAAGTCTGAGAGCAAAGGGATGTTATGACATCTCTTTAAGGGCATTATAATGAAATAAACTGGTGAAAACAGCTTCAGGTTTGTCGAGAGTTAGGAACTGATAGCTGGGCATCTTTTCTGTCTACTTGTTAGAGTAAACATTTGATAAAGGTTTTCAAACTCAAGTAGTTTCTCTAGTTACAACTTATACAAACCAAACTAATTATCTTTGTGCTGTTGCATAAAACCAGATTTTATTACTGCATAACGGTAAATGGAGGTTTTGGGGTTTTTGTTTTGTTTTGTTTTTAAATTGTTATTGTTACAATATAATTTGCACTGATGAGCTCCTTGTTTATATTTTAAAAAACCCTCCCAGCAGGGAGTTGCGTGCATCTGGAAGTTGCAAGAGGAAACCCCCTTGCTTTTTATTTGCTGAGTCAAACTCATTTTAACAAACTGACTGAACCATTATGATCAGCTATTCTGAATTCCAATATAACTTGACAGCAAGATTCCTATGTTTAGATTTTATGGTTTGCCTAAATCAGAAACTACCTTCCTATGAAGAAATGTAGCATTTATTTAAGGACTTACAATCCTGATTCTCTGTTATGTACCCAAAAGTTGTTCAAATGGTTTATCTATTCCTACTTTTAAAAATGTCTTCCTGACTCCTAGTATAAACGTACAAGTTTCATAAAACTGTTAATGAATTTTCTTAAGCATTTACTTGGTAAAGTAGAGTTTTCTGCTCCTGAGACTCTTTTTTTTTTTAAATGTGCAGAATCTGGACTGCTTCATTCAATTTACAGGTTTTGTTCAGCTTTTATTTTAAAAATATTCCATATTTGAAGAAAGCCTTTGATGCAATGGGATTTGGTGTAACTGTATCTTCTTTTTGGTATGTGCCCCACTACTCAGACACTAAGGCAGAATATTATAAGCTACTAGAAAGGGAGTTAATCCATAGCTTACATTTTTTGGTATTCATCTGTGTTCAGTTCATGCCTCTGTATCAAGAAATTCAAACCTCTGTCTCCTGTCTTGGAGAACATTTAACCACCGGGTTCTTTAGAGCAGTTCTCAGCACCCAGGCTATGTTGACTCTTCTGCTTTATGCAAAAGAACAAAAATTCACGTGGAATGAGAAAGTAACTTGACTTTATCTGTTCCAAGAGCTGGATGTTACTGCTGTGGCCCATGTCATGACTCTGCTCCCCATCACAGTCTTTGGAGCTCTGAGTAACCCGGTCTAATGGAAGGTGTCCCTGCCCATGGCAAGTGTTTGGAACTGATGATCTTTAGGGTCTCTTCCAACCCAAACCCTTCCATGGTTCTATGATTCTAATGGCTCACTCACATTAACTCCTTCACCCTCCCAGATATTTGTTTTCTCTATTTTTGCTCCTGGAATATAAACTGTCTGGCAGAAATCCGTTCCACTCCCTCTCTAAGTATTACTTCTCATTGCCTTCAGTCTTTCCCCTTTTTTTGTAAGACATGGCTTCTTCCTTTAGTACTCTTGACTGCTTCAATAGCCTCTTTTTCTATCACATCCTCTGGAATTAAAAATGGAAACAATACTATTGCTATTTGTTGCTTCAATGTAACATTTATTCTTTTGCAATCATTTCTCTTTCCTTTCTCACGGACCAATACGTTTTCTTGACTCCTGTCTATGTCCCCTATTTATCCCATCCTTTTCCATCTTGGCATGGTGCTGCATTAGGAAGAGCATTGCTAGTGGGTCAAGGGATGTGATAATTCCATTCTGGTCAGCACAGTGAGACACATCAGGAGTGCTGGGTCCAGTGCTTGGCTCCCCAGCACGAGAAAGACGTGGACACACTGGAGTGGGTCCAGCAAAGGGCCACGAAGATGGTGAGGGGACAGGAGCATCTTTGATATGAGAGCAGACTGAGAGAGCTGTGACTGTTCAGCCTGCAGAGTATAAGGCTCACAGGGATCTCATACAGGTGAGTAAATATTGAGAAGGGGGAGAGTGAAGGACATTAATTCAGGTGCCCAACAACAGGACAATGGGCATAAGTTAAAATACAGAAAATTTTATTTAAACACACAAGCCTTTTTTTTTTTTTTTTTGATAGCTTATCAGGCAGTGTCACAGGTTGCCCAGAGAGGCTGCTGAGTTCAGATCCCTGGATTGTCCTGAACAACCTGCCTTCAATGACCCTGCTCTGAGCAGAGCAGCCATGAGCAGGCACTCAGCTGATGCTGACACTGTTAGTAGAGGTGAGAGCTTTCACTGTGTCTGTCACTGGGTAGAAATGGAAGCTTGAAATGAGAAAATTCACCTGAGGTTCTTCAGTCTCTCATTAAAGACTTTCCAAATTTCAAACCATTCTAGGCATTTCATCTGAACTCTCTCTGATCTGCTCTCATTAAGAAGAGTGGGTTTATTTCTTGCCAACATTAATTCATGTTTTTTTATTTCACTTTGAGCCCCCATTCCCTGTTCCTAGCTGTTTGATCTTTGCACTTAGCTCCTTAATTAAAAGAAGACAAGCCAGCTTTTCCTGCTGCCTGGACCTCTCTCTAGGAGCTATCTTTATCTCTCATTCAGTTAGTGCCAACCACAGTCTTTACCACCAATTTCTCTTTCCTTCCCTCCCAATCCATGAACTCCCTTGAACTATATTTGGGTAAGAAACCCTAGCAGAAATGTTATTTTCGAAAGATGATTCTCATTTAGTATTTTCTTTTAAAGTCTCTCTAGCAAATTCTCAATTTTCTTATCTAGACTTTGAAGTTTGAGTAGTTCTTTATTTTTGTGTGAGAAAGTCATATCGCCTTGTATAACTCTGCTCTTTTAACAAATGCACATTTTGTCACACTGGAAATCCCACCATAAATGCAACTCCTACCTATTCAAAGTTTAATCTTTCATTAAGCCGCGTTGTCTGGTATTAATTATGCTGTTCACCCTTAATTCTTTATTGAGCACATCCTCTTCTGCTAAGATTTTGCCCTGGGTAAGCATTAAATTGACAGACCTAAAGTTAGTTTTTCAGCACATTATCCTTCGGAAACATTGAAAAATTTATTTCCTGTCTTCTCTGTTCAATCTTTTGGACAGTCACCATATCTCAGAGGATTTATCCAGCCTCCTGCTTTGAAAACAGCATTTTTACAATCTCATCAGTTGATTCACCTACAGACAGTGGTCCAAGCTCTCTTCTTTGTTGATATTTAGTAACTCACTGCTTTACTAAAGGAATAAAAAATATATATTTCTCTATTCCCATGTGAAATAGTCATCTGTCTGTTTCCCAGAAATAAATATGTGTGTGTATTACTATCAGAAGTGAGGATTTTGCATTTTCACCTCTTCCCTGGCACAGTGATGGCTGTGGAGCTATTCTGTGGGGCTGGCAGAGTTTCTGTGTTGGTGTTCCTTTGATCTCTGCCTGGAGAGGGGTGTTTTCATAAGTCATGGTACATGACTGGTGGCCACTGGAGGAGCAGGGTATTTCGTTACTGTAAAATTTCATCCTCACAGAAGATAAGCTTTCAATAGCCACCCTCCATATTTACTCCCCCAAGGAAAGTGTTAAGTCTTGGGTTACAAAGGCAAAAATAAAGTTATGAAAAGAAGAAAGTAACAAATGCAGTCTTGGCATAGCTCTGATAACAAAGGTCTTATCCAACTAACTTCAAAGGTGTGAGTAATACCACAGCTCAGCAGCCAAGAGCAGCACAGCCAGGTTGAATCTTTACAACCAATTTCTTAGCTGGTTGGTTCAATTGAATATGATCAATGAAAAACCCAGGGAAGAAAAGCATTTATCACCTTAAGAAGCTACAATTTGTTCCTTAGTGTAAACTATCCTATACTATTTCTTACTCTGCTTTTGTGTATAGACTCCACTGCTACTGACACACTGACACTCTCTCCCTTCCTTTTTTTTTTTTTTTTAGGTGCAGAAAACTTGATGGCATACTTGATTTGCATTTGTTTTGTTGATCTCCATGACTGAAATGCTTCCTCCATCTTCATGGAGCCTGGTGAACAGATGCTGTGCTGTTTTAGCACATCTTGAAGGTCAACAATTGCTAGCACAGCACAGACCAGAGCCTTCAATCCCAGAAACTGGCCTGCTTGTCATTATTCATGTGCCTGATCCAACCATATTTGAATAAAACAAAGACACTTGTTACAATGAACTAATCTGGACCTTTTACTGGAGGTTAATTTAAGTGCAAACTTTGCAAAGGTAAAACCTGTACTACACAAGGAAGTTTCTCAGGTAAATTTCATCCATTGTGCCCAACTTCTTTTTAACCTGAATAAAATGGAAAACAAATGAACAGGAAAAAAATCAGAAAAAAAAACCCCAAAACCCCAGACTACAAAACCAAATCATTTAAAAAAAAAAAAAAAAAAAATACTTTTTTTTTTTTCAATTCTTCCAGAGGCAGAAAAGTGTTCAGTTTGGCAGGCTAATTTTTTTTTATTATCCTTCATTTTACATGGCTTTTCAGAAGTTCTGCTGTACCTTTTCACTCTGGATCAATTCTGATTAATTTTCTGTTCTCTTGAACTTTTTTTTCCTGTATGTGAGATCAAAACACAAAGTGCCAATTACTTAACTCTTTAAATCAATGTATCTCTTGGCTTTTCTTCAAAAAAAAAAAAAAAAGAAAATACTGTTTGAAGCAGTGATTCATTCTGCTTTCTCTATTTAATCTGAAAAAATGCATTGCTTGCTCTTTTCACACTGATACTTGTCTCCAGCAGAAGGCAATAAAAAATATTTTAACTGGAATAGGTTAAACTGATAATAAAAAACCACAGCCATAAAGATAAAATAATTTAATATGCAGGTTCAATGTGATTACTGTCTTACAAGTTTCAGCTCCTTTTGACTTCAAGTAGCATGGCCAGCAGTTGGGTATCCTGCAGGTTACCACAAAATGGACCTGCAGAAAGGACATCTTTTAAGACTTAAGAGTGGGTCTGTGGGCTAATGAACAAGTACTGAAAACAAATGCTACTGTGTTAGCATTTTTCAAAATCTATGATTCGTAGAGGATGTCTCTCTAACTGCTTTTATTTCAGTTCTAACACAGGTAGCAGTAATCTTTACAGCAGTCTTCTGATGATGTGAAACAGAATAAAGTGCAAAGGAATGTGGAATACAGATGCAGTGGTGATACAAGTAGACCTCGTATAGGTTTGTAGGAGAAGAGAGCCCAAGTTGTTCCTGAAAGAGTAGTTTATTTTCTCTTCCAAGGAGTGTTTTTACTGAGGAAAGGATTCAGTTTTCTGAACTGTCTGGAGAGCAGATCTGTTAGGGGATCTTTGACACCTAAGATGAATCAGCCTCTGAGAATGTCTGTCTGCCTTTGCTCTTTATGGAAAGAATACAAGTGATCACCACAGACTATGTTCCTTTGATTTTTGAATATGTGAATCCCAACTAGAAGAGCTAAGAAAAGTTATTTACTTGCAGCATATTCCCATAGTTGGAACTATGTGTGTAGTCCTGGAGCTTTTCTAAAAAGTTGCTTTCACAAATAAGTACGAGGGTTTTCCAGGAGGTTACAGCACTCCACACTTCAATCTGTTTGTTATCACAAATTGGTCTTGCAGGCAAGTAAAGGGTCCAGAGTTAAAAATTGAGGCCTGGGCCCTAATTGATATCTATTAGCTGAAATCATATGTTGATATTTGTGGCAGTTTAAGCTTAAGAGCCACTGAGATTAGAAATCTATTGTGTGAGCACACAGCATGGTGAATGGCTGTTTGCTGAGAGCCCTGGAGCCAACAAGGCTGTGTTTAAACAGGCAAGGCTATGGGCAGGAAAATGGAAAAATGGAAAACAGAATACAGTGACACCTGCTCATGTATATATATATATGTATATATATATATACATATATATATATATGTATATGTATTTATACACATTAAATTAATTCTCTGATCCTACGTTTGGCACCACTCAGTAGCCCTGAAGTGTGAGGAAGAGGTTCTGACTATGTTGCTAACCTGCCATCTTCCCCTTTCTTGCCTTTCTACAGCTTGCAGAGGCACCTCTGCCATGGATAGGCTTTCATTCACATGCCAGCTTGAAGACACCTAGGCAGGGTGAGGCCTTGAGAAGATGATGTGTTACAATTTTATGGTTGCTAAAAAACTTTTTCATCCCTGAACCACCTTGCTTCACTTGCCAGGCATCCATTTGAGGGAGACAACACCTCACATAAATACTGTGTACCAGTACTGAGGCTTGTGTCACTTGATACACTATTTCATCCTAAAGGCAATATAGGCCACACAGACATATAAGATACCTTGAATCTGACAGCATTTTAAATAAATATGTATGGTCAGATCATAAAGAGGGATAAATCGGTATAACCTTGCTGAAATTGGGTCCCTTAAGCTGCACCAGTTACATATCTCAGTGCCAGTAACTCTGAGCAGCTGAGTTTCATGCATGCAAGGAGTCACACAATTGTCTCCAGGCACGCTGGGGGGATTTGCAGACATCCCCTGTGCCAGATTGGGCTGGCAACAGACTCAATACTGGGAATCCTTTCAGAAACCTACAGCCTATTGCTACCACACCTGCTCACACCTCCTAAACACATCAACCATGCACACACAGTGGGTGCCAGAGCAGTGGGATCATGCAGTAATGGAGATCCTGGAGATGCCCACAAGGTCAGTGATATGCCAAGCCACGGCCTGATCTCAGTTACAACTAAAGCCCACAAACAATGGCAGAATCAGCCCATGTGTTTAATTGCAAACAACGTCAGCTGCAGAGCTGTGAGGCCAAGGATTTGGCTATTATGTTCAACCCTTCCACATGTCAGAGGAAAAGGCCAGTAGTGTTATGTGCTAATAGCTCCCAGAAGTGAGGAGTTAGTCTTTTCCGTGAACACTTCCTTGCTAATGGATCTATGAAGTGTTTTCCTACTTTAATAAGGTACAGTTAGCCTGCCAGTCCTGTGTGCCAAAGCCTACTCATGCAGGTTCTACAAATAATTTGTTCCATTTCCCCAAGCTCCCAGCAAATGGTTAATCATTCATTGAATAAAGGTTGCATTTCTCAAGCGTTAAGGGGCCATTAAAAGTCTGCCATAAACTTTTGCAATGAGCTTTTTCACTCAGCATCCAGCAGTGCCACTTTCTCTATTATCTGGCCTTGTGTATGTATTGATCAGATACAGCTGGTTCTGGAGAGACCATGCCTGTTGCTAGGAATAGATCATGCTAGAATTTATTAACCCACTTTGCTGAGCTCTGCCACCCCAGCTAGCACTGCAGCATAAGTTGTGTTCACTCAGGACTTCCACTCCTTATTGAATGAGGATTACATCTGAGCACCAGGGACTGGTGAGTCATCAAAGGGTATAAATTCCAGGCTCTGTTTAAATGTTAAAAAGGTGGTAAATGGATGATATATGAACAGTTAAAGTCTTCTACAGTTGGGAAAGCAGTGTGCTATAAACACAATTTATTTTCAGTATATTAAAAATTTCTTGAGAATTCTGCTGATAAATATCACAAGGGGCTTAATTCTTATTGTGCTGTAATTAAAATGAATGTTTCAAAAATGCCTGCCCCAAGGCTGACAGTAATGACAGTGGAAACAGGTGAAGAAAATAAAAGTTAATGAAACTGGACCAGAGTTAAGAGATGTCACAAAACTGACTTTGTTCCATATGTGCATGTTCTATTTAATAGTAAGCATATAACTATTATTACACTTATAAATTAATCTTTGGTGACAGCAAATAGTTCATTGTTGGTTACTCAGAGTCAGAGTTTAACACTGAGCACATACATAGCTTGCCAAAACCTTTCAGCTTAGGGACAAAAATCTAAAAAGATGACAGTGGCAAATATGCCATACATTTAATCATTTGGACACTTCTCTGCAGTCTTCTGGGGGGCACCTCGACAGCTTTTTGTTGGAAGTGCTGACCTGGGTACCCCACAGGGCTCCCCCCATAGCAGAGGGGACTCTGTGCATTCAAGTGTGCCTGTGGCATTTGCACTAGGTCTGTTCCCAGCCCACTCTGCCACTGGGGTGGCTGGAAGGCATCCATATGTCTGGGGACCAAGCAAGTCAGGGAGCACCATATGTTCCCCCCTGCTCTTTAAAAAAAAACAACCAAAATTACCCTCAACAATAAGAAAAAATGTTGACTCATTCTTTGGGCAAGGTTTAGCCTTTAGTATTAATTCCTAGTCTGATCATCAGCAAAAGAAAAGGGATGAGTTGTCTTTGTTGTAGGACTCTGCAAAAAATGCAAGAATGCATCAGAATGCAGAATATAGAATGCTTCGCCTAAGCTGGCACAAGGAGCAATTCTGTCTTAAAATTGTGAATGGGAGTCACTGGATGCATGGCCAAAGAAACCTGTCTCAAAATCATAGTTTTCTTGAAATAAAATGCCAGCTTGGAACAATACCAGATGGGATATGAAAAACAATTTTTAAAAACTTGTAATCAAACATAAAAACTCAATTGCTTAATTACAGTAATTAGAATGTAAAAGCACCTGAAACAATGAAATAAGATTTTTATGTTCTATGGTCTAAATAAAATGCTTATAAGAAACAAATGTACTTTTAACCTGATAACATCATGAGAAGTAGATCAGGAAGAAATATATTGAATTTAGGAAGGAAGTCCTGAAAGGAAACAAAGGACTGAAAGTCATAAGAAATAAAGGAAAGAGAAAGGAGCCAAGGGGAACAGCTAGATAGAGATGGAAATTAAGTGTCAGTCAAGCCTTTAATAGCAAGATGTATGAGCAGGATTTAGGTGTGATGCACAGCTCAGAGCTATTACAAGCCTTTCTTCCACATGCCCGGGAGATAAAACTTCATTCTGAGGCCCATCTTTGGAAGAAGTCTTGTAAAAACAATTGCATTAAAAAGAGGTTGGTCAAAAAGCCTATATACTTTCTTTCACAAGGCCTTTATCCATCTTGTTTTAGTGATCCATAGCAGGGACTAGCAAAAGCACAGTTGTTTGCTAAGTGCAGTGGTAGGGTTTTAAAATGCCATAGGCAGCTGTACAAACTCTACTGATTTCTGTATGATGTACAGGAGGACAAAAGTCAAATAATCAAGGAAGAAGGAAATATGTGGAAGAGAGAGACCTAGAATTTATACTGGTTGCAAAGGACTGATACCTAAGTGCAGTATGGAAAGCATATCACTAAGCTGGGACAATAAAGCA